CTGCGATTGGATTGTTGGGGGTCAACGCCTGAGGGCTCCCAGTATGTGAGGGTGGGGGGCAGGCTGGGCTGAGGGACACTCCCCCTCACCCCCACCCAGTGCACGAATTTCGTGCACCGGGCACCTAGTGTAAAATAATACAACATTGCCAAATAATACAACATTGCCAAATAATACAACATTGCTGCAACATTCATTGGAATAGCTCACTGGATAATGTAATTGGTAATATTAGCAGAATACTACTCACTGTTGAATTTCATTCAACAAATTACTTGAGTGCCTAGTATGTTCTTGATATTTTGTTCTTGTCTTTTGTCTTGATATTTTTATTGCTGTACAGCAGTACAAATATCAAGACAAAAGACAAGGTCTCTGTTCCTATGGAGGTCACATTCTAGTGGAGAAAGACAAGTGAACAAACAGTAAAAACATGAACACTTACAAAGGACTGTGCATAGAACAGGGCCTTGTGAATGTGTGATGTAACTGGTTGGCTATTTTAGACCAAATGGTTGGAGAAGAGTCTCTTAGAATGGGGCATTTAAGCTGAGATGCCAATGTCAAGAAGGTCCAGTGGGAGCAGAGTGCAAAAGCCAAAGGGGGGAAACAAGGTTGGCCAGGTGCCTACAGAAAGGTGCAGAGGGGTGGGTGTGGTTTGAGATCCAAAATCAGAAAGGTAGGTAGGAGCCAGATATTGTAGAAAGATCACTCTAACTGCATTTGGAAATTAATTAAAGTGGACTTGTCTTGGTTTGTGAATATAAAATACAATATACAGATGGTCTATTATAGGATTGTATACCTGAAACCTATATTAACCTACTAGAGGCCCGATGCATGAAATTCGTGCAAGAGTAGGCCTTCCTTCCCCTGGCTGCCAGCACTGGCTTCCCTCTGGCACCCGGGACCCCGGCTTTCCTCTGGCTGCAGGCAGGTACCCGGGGACCCGGACTTCCCTCGCAGCCCTGGCTTCGTCCAGAGGTCGTCTGGAAGGATGCCCAGAAGGATGTCTGGTCTAATTAGCATATGATGCTTTTATTATTATAGATATCACCCCAGAAAATTTAATAAAAAATTAAATTTGAAAAAAAAGGGCAACTAATTAAAGTGGCAACAATGGAGGCAAGGAAACCAGTTAGGAGTTTACTATAGTAGTGAGAGATGGCTATAGTTAGAGAGGGTAATAGTGAAGATGGAGAGAAATGGATGGACTGGCTGGGAATGGTGAGGGAAACTGTTATATCTTTAATTTGATCACAACACTAAATTTTGTTCATGTACAATCAGTTTTCTGTGGCTCAAAGGGCCTTTCATATCTTTCATAATCAGAAAAAATCTTGTTATTAAAAATTATTGCAAAACGACTATTAACAACATATTGGATACATACTGCTTTTTGGTTTTAAGAACTCAGTGGATCTTCACATTTATGGTTTGCCTTTCAAATTCCCACTTGAACAAGAAGAAACTAGTTCAGTTTGTTGCCATCTTGGAAACACTTCTAAATCAATGGAAGCTAAATTTCAAGATGAACTTCAGAGAAAGTAAAAGTACCTCTGCCCCCAAACTACTCCATCAAAATCTGCAGAACAACTCCAACTGATCATCTTCATGAATAGAATTTATTGCAGGAGTTTATTCTTTGATTATCTCTGATTTTATGAAAACAGAAAGCTTTAATTAGGGTAAAACATAGCAAGCTTTGCTCATCTAGTGTAAATATAAGGAGATAGTTTAAAACCACATCCTTACACTTCATTGGTTAAAAATGTCCTCATTGATAAATGGTAAAAGCCTGTTTGTGGCTGTCTGGCCTTTTGTAGTTCACACATTTAGAAAATGCTAACAAGTAAGTAATTGAGAGGAATGTGTCTCCTAAGCAGCTGTTGGAGAACACTGCAAACCAGACAATTTTCCCAGATGGCACAATCACAGAAAATCCCTAAGACTGCTTTGAGAATAAGGATAGCAAAAATCTACATAGAGAAGCAGAGAGCTGATACTACTGGGTTTGGAAAAGTGGATAAACTGATTGATTTATGTACTGATAGATGCTGAAGACTTTGAAAGCAAAGGTATCATTTTAGCTCTTTAGGTACTGGGACTTATAAAAATCCCACAAAGAGAAAAATATATTTTTCATTATAATTTTACCTGTTAAAATATTGAACAGTTACCTCAACTATCCTTCTTCAGATCAAGAAAGATGCATCACATTATGGGGTAAGGTAAAAAAGCAAGAGGCAGAAAAAAATATATAGTATGAGCCCACATGTGTTCAAAAGGAGAGTATTCATATTATATAGAAAATACACAGAAGGATACATAGGAAACTAAACAGTCTATTGTGATTTTTTTTATTTTAATAGTGCATTCATTTTTACTTGAAAAATTTTTTAGAAGTATCACATTTTAGGATAGTGAATTTGACACTGGTATTGTAACCAGAAAAACACACACATAAAAAAAATAACAACACTTAAAATCTTCTGTTATGAACAAATGCTCTTATATTTACCCCTATAGAAATATATCAAATCAAAATATAATTGTGGTTCATTACTATTTCACTAAAGTAACATATGAGACCAAAAAAAGAAAAAGCAAGGGATGAAATGAAAAACTTCTTAGAGCTATAATTAAAAGCCAGTAATAAAGGATGAGAAAATAAGGAGGGGAAAAAAACCTCAAACAACTAACTTTCCAACGAAGGAATAGTAGTAAGTTCAAGAGGTGATTTAGGCTCAGACACTTAAAACTTGAGATTCAATTCAAAGAAGTACTTACCTATCTAAAGAACCATACATAAATTTTAAGGTTTGGGCAACATTTTCTATCATATTCCTTAGCTGAGGAAGAGGAACTCTAAAAAAGGTAAAAACATTTGTTTATTTGTAGCATAACCAAATGATGCATATCTGAAAGAAGCAGACCAAGTTTGTAGCCTCTGCCCAGTTCCTTAGCTGGGCTTCCTCTCCCCTTCCTCATGGCCTATGCTGCCTTTATCTTGACATTGTATTTTGTTTTTCTTTTGCCTTCTGGGATACTAAAACAATAAAGACAAATGATTTACCCTAAAGTCTCTTATTATGGATGTTCCACAGTTTTTGTAAACCCACACTTGCAAAACAACCCAGCTTTTCATAATCCAACCCACTGGCCTTGGGCAGTCTCCTAGCAGGGTCCTGTGCTATTTTATACAAGCTACTTGAGCATCTGTGGATTTTGGTAGCCATGTAGGGTCCTCGAACCAAAACCCTGCAGATAGCAAGGGACGACGATAGTCCCCTTTTAGATAGATAAACACACATTAGTTTGTTAAAGAGAGCCATCATTTAGCGTATATCACAACACCATTATCCCATCGTGTTAAAATTCTGAACCCCACATTTATGATAGATCATGTCTCTGAAGTCACCTTCAAAACATAATCCATTTAATATTTTTCACTGTAGCCTGTTTGTGATGTTAAACATGCCCATAAACTGTCTGATACTCTTCCTCTCGAGATGGAGCTTAATTCCTTCCCTTTGAGTGTGGGCTGGACTAGGTAACTCACTCTAACAAAGAATATATATGGAAATGATAGTGTCTCTATTCTAAAACTAAGTTATAAAAGGTCTTGCATCTTCCCCCTTTCTCTATTTTGGATCTTGCTGTGGGGTAAGCCCAGGGACATGCTGTGAAGAGGCTCAAGCTATCTGCAGGTTTTGGTTCTAGGACCCTTCATGGATATCCAAATCCGCAGGTGCTCAAGTCCCTTATATAAAATAGCATAGGAGACTGCCCAAAGCCTGTGGGTGGGTTTATGAAAAGCGGGGTTGTTTTGCAAGTATGGGCTTACAAAAATTCACATCACATGAACACACAGTTATTGTACTAGTCCAACAGACCTTTAAATCGTAAAGCTGTTTAAGGAGTTTGCCTTTTGACGAAAATGGCATAATTTTAATGAAACAGACTACGTTAGCAGTATTTGAGAAATGACTTTAAGGTCAATAAAACCCTCAACTTACTCTTCAGCAGGCAGGCCAATTAACAACAACTTGTCAGATTCTTTCCAATAAGCCACATGAGTTTGTTTCCCATTTAAAAGAAGGGACGAGCTAAGAAAAAAAAAAAATAAAGTTAGAATATCTTTAAATGTTTTAAGATTATAAAGTCATTCAGAAAAGATTGCATATGGTATGATTTAAGAACTGCATGCCTAACAAGCACATTTCTTGGCATATCCCTAACTGCCACACAGAAAGGATAATCGCACAACAAAAATATATTCTGAAGTAGTTTTTAAAAACCTCACAAAAACTCAAACAAAAGTATACCCATAACAGTAATAAAAAAATAAATAAATAAGAAAGCTTCCATCCCAGTGTGTGAATTTAATATATCAGGTCTGATGCCTGCGTATGAACTTGCTTTACTAAAGAGATTACAAAAAAAGGAAGACATGGTCCCAGCTTATAAGGTGATATTCAATATGGGACACAGCTACATAAACAAATAAACAAATGTAAGTCAGATTTAAACATGTTCCTTAAGGACACTATTGGAGTGATGTCATTTTTACCAGAAGATGGAAAAAGGAAAGTTAAAGCCTAGAAAATCCAACTTGACATTTTATCAGTATTTTAGGCCTCTTAAAATTTGAGATAAACTATTTTTGTAAAGTCAAAGATTGTTGAAATATTAAGGAAGAAAATAGCTATACTTCAGAGACTTATTGTATGAAAGAAAAACCAATCCCAAAAAAACTTAAAAGCTTTTGAGCCTCCACTTCCCATAAGTTAACTATGGAATCTCAAAGTCAGGGCTGGTTAAGTCAGTGTAGAATGGTATACTTTGTTGTATAATTGACTATATGATGTATTTAATTTTTCCAAAAATTATTTGATATCAGTCTTGCTTATCCATCACTGAAAAAATTTGCACAGATGATATTGCATTCTAAATATGCCTCCTAAAGTATATTCTGTATTTTTCTATCACTGTTGCAAGAATCATAAGAAAAATAAGCACTTAGTCATTCTTACCAACCACAAAGTATTACCCACCCAGCAAGATAACAATCAAGATAAAATCACGAAAAAGCCAAAACTCATCATAATACCATGCTTAAGAGATACCACCTTCATAAAATAAGTTCTAAAGTATAGGTCACTGGTCCAACTTTGTGATTTGAAGTGTACCAGAACACCCAGATCTACAACCATATTATTGAGAACCGATACTTTAAAAAGATAACTGGTAGAAATAACTTAGGTGAGAAGCAAAGTAGGCAGATATAGCTACATTATAGATACTAATATATTTGTATGATAGATATTTCTATTAGTATTTTGTCAGAATCAAGGTAAAGAGCTTGAAAGAAAAATAATTAAAGCTAAGTAAAAATCAATTATTACCTAGTAACTTGTGTCCCAGTTACATTTTCCAGCATGTCACACAGTGTGAGAAATATCCCTCTCACACTTTTAAGTTTCTGAGATGCATCAGACACTGGGTAATGATAAAGAATTTCTTGCTGTTAAATGAAAACAAACAAACAAAAATGATCACACTCCTCAAATTTTCCAGTCATTATTTTTTTGTCATGGAAAGTTCAGTTTGTATTAAGAAAAGAACAACAATAAAAAGAATCTTTTCAGTTTCAATAGTTTTACTCAAACATAAGAAGAGATATATGCTTAGAATTTTAACGCAGTTGAAAATATAAGTTAGAGACTGTCAAAATTGGTCATGATGTCAAAATATATACTGAATAGGACACTAATTAGTTGGAATAATTTCAAACAATGTTTTAAACTTTAATCCCCTTTACAATAATTTCTAACATGAATATTTTATTATATTTCATTATACAAATATTTTTACACATATGGTATCTGTGTAGATATCATATGTAACTTTTAGGAGTCCTTAAATTTAATTACTTTCATACTGACTTTAAAAGGATCATCTTTGTCATTTTTGGTGAATTTGTTAAATTATTAAATCTTTATTTAGCCCCTAAACAATACTGAAATTAAAAAGTGAGAACACAAAACTACATTAGAGTAATGCAGAAAGGAAGAAAGAAACATTATAATATTATAAATTTTGAAAGGGTTTTCCTACCACAAATTAATCTGAATGAAGTCTTTAAAAAACAGCACATTTTAAATTATGTAAAATACTAGATCTATAGGATAAATCTCAGCATGCTTACTACTTTTCAATTTTCAAGAAGAGCCTGTTCCCAGGAAACATGAAGTTTTAACAAAATAACAAATTTCAAAATCAGGATGTGCACTGTGCTAGAACTTTTACCAAAGGGATGAATCATTCTGGACCTCATTTTTTGCTGTTACTTAAAGCAACATGACATTTTTCTTACAAGGCAAATAAAAAGCAGGCAAAATACAAATTTCCAGATAGAAACCTTGGAGAATTCAGAGTAGTTTCCACTAATTCCGTTTAATGGCAATATGCATAAATATTAATAGAGCCACTATTAAAAGCCCAAACTCTTACAATATTATCACATATTTTCCTTGGTTCTCTCTCTAAGACTGTTCTACTTCTTGCTTTGGTCTCTTTTTACAAGAAGTAATTATGTGACATGGTATGTATATCTTGGCAACTTTTACATTAGGACAAATATAAATAATGACAAATATACACATCTGCTTTTTGTGCTTATTAATAAACACATTCGATATATGCAAATTGCTATGGAATGTGTTGGCCATACACTCTGCCTAACAACTCAAATCTTCTTGCAATATTTTTAGCGTAAAAACAGTTAAACACTTTATCTCTAGAAATTAAGTCAAACATCAGTTAAGATCTTCTGTTATGTCTACTTATACATTTAAAACTTTGCTAGTCAATAAATGTATTGTATGTAGCCAAATAACAAATACCACTTTAAACAAATAACCATATTTCCTTTGATTCATTTTGTGAAATTTCCAAATCATCTAATTCAAAGAAAACAAGCTTTTCTTAGATATGTAACTCACAGGAAAACAAAATGACCCTATGACATCTTATTGTAAGATAAGTCATACCAGTAAAGAAAGGTCCTTTGAGAAAACCTCTATGCCAACTGCTGCAGAACCAGTCTGGAAAACCTCAGTTAACGCGCCGGCAAGCTCTACAATTCCTAACCAATTTAATTAGCTGTATTTTTCAGCACTTGCTAGCAGCATGCATTTGCAGCAACTCCCACTCTATTCAATGAGAATAAAAAGCCTCTCTTGATCACAGTGTTGATACAGGACTGTCAACAGACTGAGAAACATCTACGCACTTTCCCATGGAAAGAAAGGCAAGGATGGCAAAAGGCCTCAGCAGCATCCTACTCTCAGACAACCTAGAAAGAGGCAGAGTGCTACCATCCCAGAAACTTACTGTGTGTTTTACACAATAAATGGTTAAACGTCTCATTTGTTTTAAAGATATAAAGGACTATTCATGCATGCAAGAAATTAGAATGATTAACTCTAGGTCTCTAGGCATTTCAGAACAGAGAAAATAATAAAAATATGTATAAGTAAACCCCTTCTTTTCCTTTTGAATCAGTGAGTAAATTTTGATATATGAAGAAAGCAACCCAGGGAAATACACCCCTTGTGTAAAATGGCTTTGGCACTGAGGATACAGACTGCAAAGATTTCAAAAGCAAAGAAATGCAAATTAGGTAAAACCTAATTTTAGATCCCACTTCTGCTCCAAGCACTATGGTAAACTAGATGCTCTAAGCAACTCCTGTGTTATAAAACAACTAGATCCATGACCAAAACATACTTGTTTGAACTGCTGGATAGGTAAGAAGTAGAGGGTTTCCAAGGACTCCCTCTCCATACCCTTCCACACCCCCTTCCCCACCACTGCAGAGCAAGCTGGGGCCTCAGCTGGGAGTGGGGAGTGGTGGGCAGAAAGGCAGAGGCAGGGCTGTCCTGAGGGCTGATGCCTACCATATTTGAGCAGGACAGTGAGCACTGGACTAGTGGCTCAGGAGATGAGCTAAGCCTAAGCCCAGTGCGTTACACCTAGATCCGTGAGTAAACCCCAGGCCAGTGGCAGAAGCAGAAGCAGCAAATTCTCTCTGAAGGAACACATTCCCACTTTAGAACGTTAGGACTCCCAAAGATAAAATCAAGCAGTAAGTTTCACCAATGACCTCCAAGGACGTAAGAAGACAAGTCACCACAGTCAGAGTCCCCTCAGGACTTGGAGATAGTGGGGTGGGTAGATTCAGAGCAGAGAACTCTGTATGAAATGCTTACAGAGATAAAGTTTGGAATCACTAAGATGAGCAAGCAACAGGAGACTACCAGGAACAGCACTGTAGATCTGTATGCGTATAGTTAGAAAATGTTCAGAAACTCCTAAAAATAAAACTGCAAATATTAAACACAATGGAGAGGTTAAAAAACACTATGGACATAGCAGAAGCTATAACGAAGAAAGAAAATAAAAGACATGTCTTACAGAGGAATGGCAGTAGATTTAATAGCAATTATGGAAGTCTGAAGACAAAGGAATACTTTGATTAGAGAAAAAAATCACTTTTTACCTAGCTGGCATAAGCAATATACCATGTCTTACCCCATCTTCTTCCCGGCCACACAGGAAGACTACATTTCCTACCTCCTTGTATCAGGAGAGAGCATAGAACTAGTTCTAGGCACTGGAACATGAGCAGAAGTGATGTTGCTACTTTGAAGCCAGGCCTCTGAAATATGCCAGATGTTCCGGCTTGCTTCCACTCTTCTCACATTGGCCAACTGGATGCAACAGAGGACTGGGAAGCTCTTGGGAAGAATGGAACCACTAGAGGAAGGGCTGGGATCACAGAGCCACACAGACAGGAACGTTTACATTGAAATGAGAAATAAACTTCCATTATGTTATCACTGAGACAAGGGGGTTGTTTATTATAGCGACTGGCCTATTCTGACTAATACAAAGTAGAATTACAGAACTACCTTTCAGGAAGGGGTGAAAAACACATCAACAGATAAATAACAAAAACAATTTATCAGGAACAGACTTTTACTAAAAAGGAATTTCTAACATATATGTTTTAGGAAGAAGAAAAAAATACCATGTAAAGACAGTCTAAGATGTAAGAAAGAATGGTGAGTAAAGAAATTGCTAAGCATATATGTAAATTTAAAGAAGACTCATCTCTGAAATATGTAATTTTATAATATACGATTTATATATTTTCATAAAGTATAAAATATAATAATTATTAGTAATAACAGTATAATTGTGCTAATTTGTGGAATGAAAAAAAATGATGGCACTAAGATATTGATGACAATAGCATGTAGGTGAAGAGGGGGATGATTGAAATTAAGGCATACTAAAGCCTTGAATTATTTTGAAAAGCGATGCAGATAGAATTTAACTTTAGAATCTTGTAAGACAAATGCAATAAAAAGTTAAGAGGAATCACACATAAAAAGAGAACAAGAATAATAATGATACAAGCAACCCAAAATAGGTAAGGAAATATCATAGAAGCCTGGCCAGTGTAGCTCAGTGGTTGAGTGTCCACCTATGAACCAGGAGGTCACGGTTTGATTCCCAGTCAGGGCACATGCCAGGGTTGTGGGCTCGATCCCCAGTAGAGGGTGTGCAGGAGGCATCTGATCAATGATTCTCTCTCATCTTTGATGTTTCTATCTCTCTCCCCCTTCCTCTCTGAAATCAATATATATTTCCAAATATGTATTATGGAAAACCAGTTCAAACAGAATTTTTAAAGAAGACAGCAGAAACAAATTCAAGTATTTCACTAATCTCTACAAATGGACTCACTGAGCTTGTCAGTTAAAATTTACTGCTATTAGATGAAGCAAGCCGAAACCAGTTTGGCTCAGTGGATAGAGCGTTGCCCTGCGGACTAAAGGTCCCAGGTTCGATTCCGGTCAAGGGCATGCACCTTGGTTGCAGGCACATCCCCAGTGGGGAGTGTGCAGGAGGCAGCTGATCGATGTTTCTCTCTCATCGATGTTTCTAACTCTCTATCCCTCTCCCTTCCTCTCTGTAAAAACTCAATAAAATATATTAAAAAAAAAAAAAGAAGAAGAAGCAAGAGACCTACCCAAAACATATGAAGACAGAATGACTGAGAAAAGTGCTCATGCTTCACTCAGAAGACTATACAAGGTCCTCTGTTTTCCCTGCACTTTTGAGAAGACTCACCTCCTCCTTTGAGGTCTCGGAGTCCAGCTCCAGTGTGAGATACATAACCACGTGAGGGGTGTTTAGCACATTCTGCTGGCTACCTTCAATCTCTTCTCCCCATAGAAGTTTGACTAAATCGCCTTCTGTTTTCGATTGTGCGTTTTTCTGTCTCAGTTGAGTCGTTTCCTTTTTCACAGCATATGCATTTTCTAATGTCAGCTTCACCTTTAAAAATTAAAACAACACGCTGATATTTCAACAAGGGAAAACCAGCTGCAGCTTTCGCAAAGCAGGCTCTGTACCTGCACATACACTCAGGTACACACAACATGCAGAGGCATCTTCCCACAGCATGGGCTCCCCGGTTCCTCGCCCAGTGTCCGGCACACAGTAATACAAATATTTATTGAGCAAGAATGTATAATTCTCTGTTCAAAATTTCATTTGTTTAAACTTAATAATTGTATTGTAAGTATTGACACCAAAAACAAGAAATGACACCAAAAACAAAAATTAGTGTGATCTGACAGTGTAATAAAGACTAATACCACATTATGAGCACTGACTCCTCTGGGGAAAATAAAGGAGATTCGGGATTAAAAGCAACTTCCAGCTCTGGCTAGTGTCAATCAGTGGTTAGAGTGTCGGCCTGTGCACCGAAGGGTCGCAGGTTCCATTGTTGGTCCTGGGCAGGTGTGGGAGGTAACCAATGTGTCTCTTTCACATTGATATCTCTCTCTCTCTAGTGTAATAAAGACTAATACCACATTATGAGCACTGACTCCTCTGGGGAAAATAAAGGAGATTCGGGATTAAAAGCAACTTCCAGCTCTGGCTAGTGTCAATCAGTGGTTAGAGTGTCGGCCTGTGCACCGAAGGGTCGCAGGTTCCATTGTTGGTCCTGGGCAGGTGTGTGGGTTGCAGGTTCCATCTCCCATCCTGGTCATGGAGTGTGCAGGAGACAACCAATCAATGTGCCCTTCTCACATTGATGTTTCTCTCTCTCCCCTTCCCTCCCTGCCTTTCACTCTCCCTAAAAACCAATGGGAAAAATATCCTCAGGCGAGGATTAACAGCAACAAAAAGCCCTACTAGCGCTCCTTTCAAGTGACGTGAGGTTCAAATGTTCTCTCAGACATTCTTTGGGGTCCTTTAAAGGCTCAGGAGAGCAAAGAACAATCAACGTGCTGGATCTTGGATCATGGCCTAAATAAGATCATCTATCAGTTTTATCATGCAGTTTTCATTTCATGGCCTGATGTCCAACCAGTTTGGTAAGTGTCCAGGGCATGGCCTTTTTCCAGATGTTGAAAGGAGCTTCCACTCCTCAATTACCTTTCCTTGACAAAGGAGCTAAGTGTCTAGATGCCCGCTGGCCAAAGATAACTCACTCATCTTAAAGCATCAGTGTTTATCTTGACTAAAAAAAGTTAAAGAATATTTAAATACCGGATTTGTGCACTGGTGGGTCCCTTGGCCTGGCCTGCGGGGATCTGGTTGAAACCCGCTCTCCCACATCCCCTGAGGGGTCCCGGATTGCGAGAGGGTGGTTCTCAGGTGACACACTCTGGAATTGGGCTCCCTCCTCTCTGGTTCCAGGTGTGTCACCTGAGAACCGCAGCTGCCAAGTCACCACAGCTCAGCAGCTCTTGCATTGAGCGTCTGCCCCCTGGTGGTCAGTGCATGTCATAGCTACTGGTCAGAGTGCTCCCTGGTGGTCATTGTGCATCATAGCTACTGGTGGGACAGTTACTTAGGCTTTTATATATACAGACTAGAGACCCAGTGCATGAATTCGTGTACCAGTGGAGTCCCCTGGCCTGGCCTGCAGGATCGGGCTGAAACCGGCTCTCCGACATCCCCTGAGGGGTCCCGGATTGTGAGAGGGCACAGGCCAGGCCCAGGGACCCCACCGGTGCACAATTGGGACTGGGGAGGGTCTAGAGAGGTTGGCCAGCTGGGGAGGGACTGTGGGAGGGCTCCAGGGCATGTCCGGCCCGTCTCGCTCAATCCCCATCGGCTGGACCCCAGCAGTAAGCTAACCTACCAGTAGGAGCATCTGCCCCTTGGTGGTCTGTGCACATCATAGCGACTGGTCAACCGTTGACTATCTGCCCCCTGGTGGTCAGTGCACAGAATAGCAAGTGGTTGAGTGGCCTTAGCATATCAGCAGCATATTACACTTTGATTGGTTGAATGAACGACCGGACACTTAGCACATTAGGCTTTTATTATACAGGATACTTAGTTTTATTAGCAGGGACATCATCATAAGCTAGAGAGGCACAAAATATTCCTATTTAAAAGTGACCAGACTATAGATGAGTAAAGCGAACATTCTAAGTGTAATAATCCATAACATTTTAACATTAAATACTAATATACAATGATTATTTTAAAATTAGATTACATTTTAAAAGTAAAAAAATAAACTCATGCTTATCAAGAAAAATGTCTGCTCAATATGTGTATATTAAGTTTACTGTATACTTTAAAAATTACATTGTATAACAGATATATACAATTTTTATTTGTCAAGCATACCTCAGTAAAGCTGGGGGCGGGGAGAGAAATCTGCTCAATATTTAAAAACAGATAAAATTGTTTGTACATAGTAAATTGCATTTAGGGATACAATATCTAAAAACTATTATCAAGACAGTAGTAATCCCTATTTTTAGAAATGTATTATTCAAGGCCAACTTTAAATATATGATAAATACTAACACATTAGGAACTCTTTGTAATAATGAGCTTTATTTTTATGTTTTTATTAAAAATGTGAAGCATGTTATTTGAAAAAATTCATTCATAATCCCACCAGCCCATCCAACAACTGTTTGCATTATACTATAAAATAAATAAATCTGCCCCAATGAATAAAACCTTCCAAAAGAAAAATATCTAGGTGTCTTTTTTGTTGGCAAGGAGCGACTATGACTGTGTTAAATTTTGCTATCTGTAGCTATTGGTGGCATTTCAGCGGCACTCAGTTACCTTTGTCTACATAAAGTCAATTAAGTCACTTAAGCATCTTTTCTAAAATAAGTCTCAGAGTTTATTTTAGTAACAAGTAGAAAAGAAAAGAGTCATGAAGTCTAAACTCATCAATATGTATACATTCAGAATAAAGATAAACTAGGTCACAATTAGCAGTAATCTGTGTAGAGAGCAGGAGGGGAGAAATCCCTCATGAAATTTTTCTGAGGCCTGGTGATATCTTTCTTTACAAAACATTTAATATCATTCCAAATGGAAAAGATCAAACTTTATTAAATTTTTTGTTTTCTGTAAATCTGATATTGAGAAATGGACTCTTGATATTAGAACACTGTATCAAAAAAGGCTGAGTATAAAATTAGCATATCTGGGGGAGGGATATTAAGCAAACTAAACAAAAATATTAAAAAATTACAGATCCTACGGAACAATCAAAATTTATCTGATGGAAATTAATACGGTTAAGGTAAGGAAGAGTTGAAGAGACATTGTTTTAGGAATGATCTTCGAAGGATATAAAAAACAGTGTTTGGTATGAGGTTTTGACCTAAACAAGCAACATGTAAACATTATATGGCCTGAAAAACTATTTTATGAGGGTGGCATCTGTTCCAGTGGGTAATGCTCTCAATATCTGTATGCAAGAATACAAATATAAACATGAAATCCTTGAGTAAGGATCTGATGAAGCGAATGGCCTGGGGGTCTGGAGGTTCTTTTATCTGAGTTTGAGAATTTAGGAGTATCCAAAACAGAATATATGGGAGCCTTTGATGATGTTCCTTGGAAATGCAAGAAATCTAGAATTTGGGGAAATTCTGAAGCACAGAATTTGTGACAAACTAGATGGGAGCTTTGAAGACTGTTCCCCTGGACACTGGGTTTGGGGGAGGAGTGGCTAGGAGGGGGTGGAAGCTGGTTGCAAGAGCAGGAGAGGAGTGACCTCCTAGGGAAGCAGGCATCACAGAGACAGGCCACATGGGCTGGAGCGTCTGTGAGAGCTGTACGTCTTTTCTAGATGAGATTCTTGTAGGTGGAGAGGTCAACTAGGGCGTGATTCCCCAGAAATGACAAAAGGAAATGACTTAAAATAACAATTCACCAATTTTACTTTAGGCAGCAACAGCAACCTAAAATTTAAGGCTGGTTTGCTATGCTTCATGAAGAACAAGATACTTGAAAACCAACGTTAATGTTATACTTGGCACACACCAGCACTTCTTTCCTGTGGTACACAGACCTTTCCCCTTACCATGACAAAAACTTAAACCAACACGCACCACAGAACCATCCATTAAAATTCTTTAAGGAACGACTTTAGCCGGCATTCTTCCAATTTAAGTAAAGTTGGCTCTATATTTCAAAGATAATTATACTTTAGCAAGACATTTTGAAAAAGGTTACATGTTAAGTAGCTATAAATGTCAGGAAATCTGGTTGCCTTGATGAAATAATAAAGGGTGAGATAGATAAGCAAGTGAAGAGTTAAGAGTTAGCTATTTTTAAAAAGGGGGTTGATATATGTAAATATGAGGATATTATGTTTTATGGGAAAAAACTTTTATTAAGAAACATTTAATATAAGGTAGTTTATATGAAGCTTCTCTAAAAAAGGATTCCTGTTGTTCTTTCATAGCCATTCACCTATGACACATTTCATGGTTCCTCATTTCCTGTCTCCCTCAAAACTGTTTCTGATTGGCGCAATTTCCCCATCCTTCCTTTCCTCCTTCTCTCCCAGTTCAGGAGAGGTTGTGTCTTTCCTCAGGTCTAGGGATGTGCTTACTGTAACTCCTCACTTCCCAAATCTTGTTGCTTTAATGATCCCCTCTCTCTACTTTTTTTTTAAAAATTAAATCTTTATTGTTCAGATTATTACATTTGTTCCTCTTTTTTTCCCCATAGCTCTCCTCCTCCCAGTTCCTACCCCACCCTCCGCCCTCACTCCCCACCCACTGTCCTTATCCATAGGTACATGATTTTTGTCCAG